AAAAAAAAAAAAAAGAGAGTTAAGAGAATCCAGAGTCACGGGGCTGGGGGAGTGATGGTAGCAGAGGTGGTCAGCACTCACTTGGTGAGAAGCACCACTGGAACCAAGGCCACAGGGATGATGGGAAGAGAGTTCCAGGCAGAGGGAAGGGCAGGTGCTAAGGCCCTGAGGGCAACACCTGCTCCCAGCTAGGGTGGGCCTAGAGGAGGGGGTTAGGAAAGGGTCTTTGGAGACCTAAAGTTGGAGGTCATTGTAAGGACTCTGACTTTGCCTTTGGGTGAAAACCTGGAAAGGCTTTGAACAGAGGCAGCATGGTCAGATTTAGACATTCAGAGAGTCACCAGGCAACACCAGCTCATTTTTTATTTTAAAGCAGAACTGGCAGGATCTTGCTGAGTGGACTGGATGTGGGGTTGCAGAGGGAAAGAGAGGAACCCAGGGATTGATATGCCAAGAATGTTTTTAAAAAAATTATTAGGGACTGCGGAAGCGGTGGCTCACAACCTGGTAATCCGAGCACTATTAGGCCGAGGGCGCGGAGGCCGGCCGATCACGAGTCAGGAAGATCGAGAGACCCATTCTGGGCTAACATGGTGAAACCCTGTCTCTTACTAAAAATACAAAAAAAATTAGCCGGGGGCGTGGTGGTCGTGGCGCGCCTATAGTCCAGATTACGTGGTGAGGCTAGGCTGGGCAGGAGAATGGCGGAACCCGGCTGAGGGCAAAGAGCTTGGCAGTGAGCCGAGGATCGCACACTGCTACTCGCAGCCTGAGGACAGAGCGAGACTGTCTCAAAAAAAGAAAGATTACTGTGGCTGGGGCACGGCGGTGCTCATGCCTTGTGCACATCCAGCGATGTCGGGGGGCCCAAGGCGGGCGGATCACTTGGAGTTCACGGAGTTCAACGACAGCTGGGCCAAATTGGTCGACAACCCGTGCCTCTCTTACGAAAACTCAACAAATTAGCACGATGTGGTGGTGGCAACTGCTAATCCAGCTACCTGGAAGGCTGACGGCAGGGAGCGAATCACCTATGAACCCACGAGAGGTGAGGTTGCAGGTGACTTGAACATTGTGCCACTGCACTCCAGCCTGGTGACAGCAGCAAAGGATTGCCATCTCAAAAAAATAAATAAATAAAATTAGAAATAAGAAAGATTATTAATTTGTACGAGATAAGTCTGTGCGCTTGTTGGCCAGGTGTCTTTACTCCTGGCCCAAAGTGATCTTGGCCTCCAAAAGTGCTGGGATGGTACAGCGGCA